CACGGAGCAGGTCAGTCTCCCCCCTTGTACGGGCTGCTGTGCACCCACCTAATCGGTGCTTGCAGTACTCGAAATCGACGCAGTCGCCGAGGTCGATGCTCCTGGGTTCCATGACGCCATACGGATGGCAATTCCGCTGGTTCCTCTGGCTGAAGGAGAAAGACAAAGCGTAAGACCAACGGGCTCCTCGTTTCAACAGTGCACTCACTCATTTAATTACAGGGCAATGATCCGCGACGCGAGGAAAGTGTATGAGTGGGACTTTGACCGCTACATCCCTTGTCACGGGGTAGGTATAAGTGAGGCATGCTGTTCTTTGCGAGCTAACTCTCCACGTTGACAGGATGTCATCGAGACGAACGCCAGGGGGGCGTGGAAGGCTGCCTGGGCTCACTACCTGTCTTGACCGTCGACCCCAGACTGTTGCGAAGGACCCGAAAAGACCTAAAGCGCTTTCTTGATCTTCTAGCCATTCATTGCGATGACGTGAATCTATGAGGTCCATTGCGAGCCTCTGCTCGTACACAGACAACGCCGCGCTACGGACGAAGAAGCTGCCGGTAGGTTCAAATACTCGTACAACTGCGCGACGTGCGATGGAGCCGTCAACACTATATCCCTCATTTTTCACTTCTGCAGAGGTGGAGTGTCCGCGAACAGGACGGCTTGCAGGCGCGCGGGGTATCGTGGGCCCTTCGCCGCATCTGCCTCGACAGCGATTCTGCGGACTTCCTGTACGTCCTCCGGAGAGAGCTTGATATGTACAGAGTCCAGGTTTTCCTTCAAGTTCTGTATGCAACCCTCCTCAGCACTCTACCTCGCGCCGCCCCAATACATTGGGAGACTCACCGGGATCTTCGTAGTGCCAGGGATAGGAATGACATCGTCTCCCTGAGCAAGCAACCACGCAAGAGCGACCTGACCCGCGGTCGCGTTGTACTTTTCGCCGATCTTCTTCAGCCCGTCCGCGATCTTCAAGATGTTCGGGAAGTTCTCCTTCGAGTAGCGCGGGACCTTCCTGCGGAAGTCGTCCTCGTCAAAGTCCTCCGGGCCTTTCTGCATCGCTCGTCAGCCGCACGCTCGAGTCTCTCGGGTGAAGGTGAGGTGTTGGGCTCACGTATCGGCCGGTGAGGAGGCCGCGTCCTAGAGGCGAGTACGCGATGATCTTGACGCCGAGCTCACGCGCGGCTTTCAGCAGGCCGACCTTGGGGTCCTCGATGTCGAGCGTGAACGGCGAGTACTCGACTTCCAGGGCGGCGATGGGGTGCACGGCGTGCGCGCGACGCAGCGTCTCTTCCGAGACCTCGGAAAGCCCAATGTACTTGACTTTGCCGAGTCTGGGACGGATAGTCAGTACTCCTGCACGTTGTTCGCTTGCAAAGCTGGCTCACTGACTTTACTTGCTCCGCCATTGCACCAACAGTGAGCTATGGATAAGTCAGCGAATGCTTGCCATCAACGGACAGGCTACGACATACCTCGATAGGCACGAGGGGGTCGGCTCTGCGTCACCACGTTAATATCGGTCCGCGGTCGAGCAAACTGGCAAGCACCGACCTGTGCAAGTACCACAGGTCGATATAGTCGGTCCCGAGTCTCTTGAGCGACGCGTCCACCGCTTGGGCGGTGTACTCCGGAGTCCCATTGATCGCCCTATCTGGGTCGGGCACCTGGCCAAACTTCGTCGCCAGGAATATCTCCTTGCGCTTTCCAGTGCGCTTGAACCTGGCCGAGGATTGTGAGCCTTGAACGGTTGGGGAGCGCTAACAAAGAGCAAACCTACCACTTGCCGATGAGCTCCTCGCTGTCGGCGTACCTGTCCGCGGTGTCCCAGAACGTGCAGCCGTTCTCGTACACAGCGTCAAGGACCTGCGAGCAACTGGACGGTTAGCCTGCTGCTGCACACCGGGGTTTCCAGAACGTGAAGTACACAGACCTTGAAGCGCTCCTCGTCCGGCAGAGGTTTTCCGTAGAAAGCGGAGATGCCCATGGCACCATACCCGATGGCGGTGACGTCGGAGTCTCCCAGTTTACGAGTGGGCAGAGGCATTTTGTTGTTTAGCCTTGGGGGAAAGGCGTCTCGGGCTCTGCTATGGCATGCAACCATTGACAACCCGGCCTCTTATATACCTCTCCAGGGACCCCTCCTCAAAGTTATCGATGCACAAAGGAGTTCGCTTACTCATACAGGCGTCATACCACACCTTCTGCCATCTGCAACGTTGCGCAAGCGTCCACCGACGAGTTCAAATTCGTCAGCGTAGGAGATAGCAGTGGGTGCGCATGCACCATGCCTTGTCTCGCCGGTCTCAAGATGCGATGGCTGCAGCAGCATCGCGGGAACGCGGGTTGCGAGGAATCGGAGGCGTTGGAATATCAAATTCGTGTCGCACCGAGCTTGTTGCGGCTGTGATAGGGCGACGTCAGAACGTCTGCAGAGGCAAATCCTGATCATGAGTCTCTCCGGATGGCCTTCATCGCCGGACGCGCAAGTCTCGAAGGTTCGTAGGTGGTTGAGCGGGCGAAGTTTTGATGTTCGTGCCATCTGCAGGGTGAGCACGACTCGGCGCGCAAAGAGAGCTATTCCTGACCCCCTGCGCTCAGATCTAGTCGTATCGTATCGATCTGCTGCATGGCATACTTGAGGTTACAGAGCACCTTGCTGTCCTACTTCCTGCCAGTGCGGATGCGCTTTGAAATATGTTGATCCCGTCGTGAAACGGGAGTATGATTCAACAGCACGAGGACTAGATTCTAATGATCAGGTGAGGTATTATCGTACATCGAGAGTGCTGCGCCAGACACGAACTTGCTCCCGGTAGGTCAGATACTCGTTCAACTGCGCAACCTCCGCAAGTGACTTCAGTGTATCCTCTGCAGGCCCCTTACTTCTGCAGAGGCGGGGTGTCCGCGAAGAGGACAGCATGCAGACGCTCGGGGTAGCGCGGGCCCTTCGCCGCGTCAGCCTCGGCGGCGATCTTGCGAACCTCTTGCACGTCCTCCGGGGACAGCTTGATGTTAACAGCACCAAGGTTTTCCTTCAGGTTCTGCGAGTGCATTCCTTCTCAGTCATGTCCTCGTCGTCGCGGGGTACGCGAACACTCACGGGGATCCTGGTAGTGCCAGGGATAGGGATGACGTCGTCGCCCTGCGCGAGCAGCCACGCAAGGGCGACCTGGCCCGCCGTGGCGTTGTATTTCTCCCCAATCTTCTTCAGCCCGTTCGCGATCTTCAGGATGTTCGGGAAATTCTCCTTCGAGTAGCGCGGGACATGCCGGCGGAAGTCATCCTCGTCGAAGTCCTCTGGGCTTTTCTGCATAGCTTGTCAGCCACGGGGTCCGGGAAGAGTTTGCGATACGTAGAGCTCACGTATCGGCCAGTGATGAGGCCCCGACCCAGAGGCGAGTACGCGATAATCTTGATGCCGAGTTCGCGTGCGGCTTTCAGCAGACCGACCTTGGGGTCCTCGATGTCGAGCGTGAAGGGCGAGTACTCGACCTGCAAGGCGGAGATAGGATGCACAGCGTGTGCGCGACGGAGAGTCTGCTCGGACACCTCGGAGAGCCCGATGTACTTGACTTTCCCGAGCCTGTGTTATATGGTCAGTACACCTCCACATAGGCCATCCGCAGAGCTGGGATACTGACTTCACTTGCTCTGCCATCGCGCCAACACTGAGCTGCAGAAACCGTTAGCGATAGGCGCTATCAGCGATCGGGCGATCATGTACCTCAATAGGCACGAGAGGGTCGGCTCTGCCATAGCATGTCAGCATCAGCGTGCTAACGAGCCATGTAGCGAGGACAGACCTGTGCAGGTACCAGAGGTCGACGTGGTCGGTTCCCAACCTCTTCAGAGACGCGTCCAAGGCCTTAGCAGCATACTCCGGGGTTCCATTGACGGCCCTGTCCGGGTCGGTGACGATGCCGAACTTCGTCGCCAGGAAAATCTCGTTGCGCTTCCCAGTCCGCTTGAACCTGGACGACGACAGTGAGTTTCTAGTCACCCAACTCTGTTTGATTTTGGGCCCTACCATTTGCCGATAAGCTCCTCGCTGTCGAGGTACCTATCGGCGGTATCCCAGAACGTGCAGCCATTCTCGTACACAGCGTCCAGGACCTGCGGGCGAGAATACGTCAGCATATGTTGGGTGCTCGGACGTGGGTACCCAGTGCACCCACCTTGAAGCGTTCCTCGTCCGGCAGAGGCTTCCCGTAGAAGGCAGAGATGCCCATGGCACCGTAGCCAATGGCGGTGACATCGGAGTCTCCTAGTTTGCGAGTGGGGAGAGGCATTCTGTGGTCTGAATTCGGTAGTGAGGTGAAGTCTGGGAATTATTCTGGGGGTCCTGGGTTGTATGGGAAAGCCCATGTCTGGCCCCTTATATACGTGTCCACGGACCCTTCGTTGAAGTCATCGGATCGGTAGAGGGGTTGCTTATGAATACAGGCGTCATACAGCACTCTCTGCTGTGTGCAAACATTCGTGCAACCGTTCGCCAACGGGTCCATTATTCGTCAGCGCAGGAGATAGCAGTTGAGGAACTCATGACTTGCCTTGGTTGGATCAAGGCCACGGTCACCGACCGATGCCAGTCGCAGCATCGCAGGAAATGATACGGCTTGCGAGGCGCTCGGTCCGAGCTCTTGCGACTCCTACTACGGTGATGTAAGAGCATTCTACCAGAGCGTGTCGTGGGCCGTGGTCCGCGGACGGATTCCTTAGTCGACGTCTGGATCTCAGCGGCGCAGTCAATAATACCATCGAAGCCTAGGAACATCGCGCGCAGGGTGACGTACGACATAGCTAGCGATGCGGTGACTTTCTGGGACACGTCTCAGTGCGCGTGAAAGCGGCCTGCAAAAGACGACTTCTGCAGCTCGAGCTCACCTGCCCCGTATGTGTAGGCGAGGGAGGAGAAATATACGGTGAGAGTTGCCAGTAGACACTGGGAAAGAGCGGGCAGGAAAAAAGAACACCAGATCATCGAGGGGCAAAAATTCCCACTAGCCGACTTGAACGACTGACCTCGTCATTACTAGTGACGCGCTCTACCAGCTGAGCTAAGCGGGACATACCACAGCAGTACGCAAGTACAATATAAGTCATTTACTAGCGCTCACGATTGCCCTTGCGCAGCAGTGCTAGTGAACTAGTGAGTCCGAGTGGCCGAGTCCTTGCTCCTGCACCTCCACCTCGCTGTCCCGCCTTGCAGCTGTCTCTGTTCGAGCGTTAACACAAATATCTTATCTTCCGCGTTCCTGATGTCAGACGTGCCGCAAACCGACGTCTCGCGGCCGTCCGCGCTGCCGACCGCGAAGCTGCTGCAACGCCCCACGCAGCCCCTCGTAGACCAGAACTCGAACGAGTACCTCGACGCGATCGAGGAGGAGTGGAACAAGAAGGTCGACGTCGAGATCGAGACCCTCGTCGACGGCATGGCGGACATCGTCTCGCTCGCTTCGGTGGGTACCTTGCCCCCCGCAGCGTAGCGGCCGCGCCTCGAGCGTTCCGTTGTAGCTGGGTGCTCATGCGTGCGGGTGAACAGATCGGCGACAAGGACAAGTTCCGCATCGCGCAGGAGTCGTTCCAGGCGCAGTGCCGCGCAGAGTCCATGGTGCGTCCCCTCGCGCTCGTACCTGCACCATCTCCGTCCGCTCACCTGCTTCGCACCTGCGGCCCTCCATCTCCTACCTCCATTCACTCGCGTGGTATTGCAATGGCCCGCGCCCGCGCACGCGCAGATCCGCGCGGCGCACTCGCTCATGTCGACGATCCACTCCATGAAGCTGCTGCTGCTCCTCTCCGACGAGGCGCAGATCGCGAAGCGGCGCGACGCGGAGCTGCGCACCGTGCAGGCGGAGAAGAGCGACGCGCAGAAGAAGGTCGCCGCGCTGCTTGACGAGCTGCTCAGCTCGCGTACGGACGATGGGAGCGCGGGCAGTGGAAGCCAGGGCGGGGGCATGCGGACGACGTGAACGGCGTCGTGTCGCTGCTTGCCCGTGAACGGGTGTGATTGGTCCCCCCCACCTCGCGCTTCCGCTGGACTGCATATGAGGTACGTGCGTGCAGTGATGGACACGCTCTTCTCGGACTCACTGGTGCCTCAGCGGAAGCACGCGCTGTCCCCTGAGGGTGATTAGCTCCGCCGTTTGACCACCGACGAGAGAGCGGCAGTTCTGTCCTGTCGCGGCACTCCTTGCACCGTATGCCGCTCGCCGTCCGAGCACCACGCCGAACACGCGACTCACCCCGAAGCCGGCACGTGTAGTCACTGCGTATACACGCGTAAGTAGCCGTAGATTCATCTCGAGCTTGTTGCCGGACGGGGAGGGCGGGGATAGGCAGTCACTTGTAGGTCAATGAGGAAGAAATCAATGTAGAGGTGCTGCTTGTAGCTACGAATCATGAGATTCCTGTCAGCCTCGCCGACTGGTAGCATCCTATGGGCCACTGTATACATTACTGCACAGCTCCGCATACAGACTGCCCGGTTCATGGACGCCCGGTCCTCCAGGTGATACTCGTGTGGAACTGAGCACGCGTGATGCACGATGTTCGCCTCGACCTGGCTGCCCGCTCACAAATGGTAGGTTGCTGACTTGCAGCATATCGCTTGAAGTTGTGCTTCGCGTTCTATGCAGCACACACGATAGATGAAGACAGAGCACCGCGCGACAGCGCCATCCAAAGATAGTATTATACATAACTCTATGAGCCATGCATCAAGCACGACGATTATATAAACGCTACAGCGGAAACCCAGCAAGAGCAACTACAAACAATACACCAAGAGCGAGCGGGCATGGAGAATGAATGGACGTATAGATACAGCATGCGTGAAAGCAGGGGCGTCGAGCGTGCGTGAGTGCGTGCGTGCGTAGTGCGGTGGGTCGTGTCAAACGGGAGTTGCGGTGCGGGCGCTTGCAAAGCGTGCGTGTAGCGTGCGGCGTCGAGCGTGAACGTGAACGTAGAGGCGTGTAAAGGAGAACCGGAGCTAGGGGACGAGAAACGGTGGAGGCGCTCAGCAGTCGACCTCCTCAATCCCGATGGCGTTCGAGATCGCGTCGAGGAGGATGTCGTTAGAGTCGCCCGCGGCCTCCCACATCGCGAAGCCGCGCAGGCCGGCCTCGTTGATGAACCTGCCCTTGGCCGCGAACGACTGCGCGTCGTCGTACGAGACCATGACCTCCGTCTGCGGGTTGTACACGTACGGCGTCTGGCTGCACGCGTCGAAGCGGTAGTCGATGCCCGCCGCCGCGGTCCCGTTCGCGGTGAGGAACCCGCCCTCGACGAGCCCCCAGAAGTCGAAGATGCCCGACGGCCCGCCCGCGCTCGGGTTCCCGCACTGGTCGACGCCGGCCGGCGCGACCGCGTCCCACGAGTCGCCGAGCGGCTGCTGCGCGGCGTCGAACGCGGGGTACGGCGCGAGCGTGCTGCCCGAGGAGACCGCCGCGTCCTTCGCGACCTTGAAGCTGTGCCCGTACGAGGCGACGCCGAGCACGAGCTGGTTCGCGGGGAAGCCGGCGTCGGTCCACGCCTTGACCGCGGAGACGGCGGAGCCCTGCTGGTCCGCGGGCGCGGCGCAGGTGTCGTTGAGCGGCGCGTTCGGGCCGACGGCGCTCGACCACGCGCCCCAGACGTCGTAGTTCATGATCGCGAGGTAGTCGAGCACCTTCGCGAACCCGGAGACGTCCGCGAGGGGCGTGCCGTCGGGGCCGTTGAAGGGCGTGATGCCGGCGGCGGCGGAGAGCGTGAGGTTCGCGCCGGCGGGGTCCGCGCGGAGCGCCTGGAGGAAGGCGAGGAAGTTCGCGGCGTCGTCGGCGGCGAGGAGGTTGCAGCCCATGCCCTGCTTGTTCGGGTACTCCCAGTCGAAGTCGAGCCCGTCGAGCGAGTACTTGGAGACGAGCCCGAGCGCGGTCTTGACGAAGGCGGTGCGGTTCGCCTCGGTCGCGACGGCGGAGGAGAAGTATTGGGAACCGGTCCAGCCGCCGATGGTCAGGATGGCCTTGACGTTCTGTGATCGGGTCGGTGAGCCGGATGTCCCTCCAAAAGCTCTGGCAAGAAGGTTTGACTTACATTCTGGTGCGCGAGGTCAACGAACTTGGGAAGGAGCTCCTCGTCCGAAGCCTCGAGGGAGACGACGTTAACGTCGGGGGTGGTCACCGCGAAAGCGTAGGTGACGGCGGTGTACTTGTTCCAGCTGAGCTTCTCCGGAGGGAAGTCGGAGCCGTGCCAGCCCGCGTACCAGGTGTACGCGACGACGTCGTCGCCGGCGACGCTGCTGTTGCCTCCAGAGGATGACGAGCCCGAGGACGCGCCGGAGCTAGCAGAGGCAGATGCGGAGGCGCTCGCTGCGAGAGCGGCGGCGGACTTGGACGGAACGAGAGAGCACATGGGCGCAGCCCATACTGAAGCCAGCGGGAGGGCGGCGAGGAGAGAGAGCGGAACGAGCATCGTGCGTCGCGGTGTAAAAGACAGGAAGGTCTGAGGAGGAGGAGGGGTTGCGAGACTCGGAGGAGGAGGGACGCACGAGGCGGGGGAGGGATGGGGAGTCCTCGAGGCAGAGGAGGGCGGGCTTTATAGACGGACGGGATGAAAATCTCGGGTCAGCCGCGTGGTGGTGTTCTTACATATTACCTTTGGCATTGATTGCGTATGTAAGAACGAAAATGGAGACGCATGTTCCTGGCCTGCAGCGTAAACAATCGCCCCGGATGAGTGTCAACCCGGCGCTTGTGCGGACAATGGCCACGCACAGGCGTGCAAACAAATGGATGCTGTGCCGTCTCTACAGCTGCATAGACCGATATAATAACCACTCTTCCGAGCACAAGTTCGTCGTATCCATGCATGCATCCTCTGTCTGACTGGCTCCAAGAGCATGTGCCGCGTCCGAGTCCGAGGCGTCTTCGGGCTATCTTCGAGCTTGCTGAGCTGGACCCCGAAAATGGACTGACGCGATGGGGATTCGAACGGTGATGCAATCAGATGCAGATGCAGAGTGAGCGCCGATGGAGCTGCTGCAGCGGACCCTGCCTCCCTCCGTCCACCCTCGACGACGACACCGACGACCCCGCTCACGATGTCCACGCCCCCGCCCTCAGCACCCGCGCAGGCCCCTGCGCCCGCGACGAGCACCCAGACCGTCGACGCGCCCAAGCCAGAGCGCCCCGCCCCCGGCACACGCATGCCCTCCCTCAACCAGCTCGCCGCACGCATCAAGCTCGACGCCCCTTCCCCCGCCACCGCCGGCAACCGCCCCCGCCTCGCCGCCTCCCTCCTCCGCACAAGCTCCCAGAACTCCAACGTCTCCTCCGCCGCGGCGTCCGCGTCGGATTCTGTGACCGTCAACCCGCCCTCGTCCCGCTCCGTCTCGCCTGCACAGCTCTCCGTCTCCCCGCCGCGCAGCAATGGCAGCACGCCGCAGCCCGAGGAGGGCGACGCCCAGCCGCTCACCACCGAGAAGCTCGAGAAGCTCAACCAGGAGACCGCCAAGGACGACAAGGACGCGAAGCCGAAGCAGAGGATGCCCATCGGCTACAAGAACATCCCCAGCCTCGACGCCATCACCGCGCGCCTCGCAAAGGCGCGGACCCTCAGCATCGATGGCTCCGCGAAGCCGCCAGAGGCGGAGACGATCGAGGATCCCAAAACGCCCGGCCTGCGCATCAAGGCTCCCGAGCACCCGCTCGAGCACTCCTGGTGAGTCTCATCCTGTCTTGTCTTGTGCTCTCACTCGTGCTGATGTCATCGCCGCAGGACAATATACCACGACACGAAGAACAAGGTGCCGTATACCCCCGCGACCGCCGGGTCGGACAACCCGCCCAACTCGGCCGCGGGCCACTTCATGGCGCCCGACACGGACGAGTACGAGGCGGGGCTGACCGTGATCGGCGAGTTCGACACGGTCGAGTCGTTCTGCCGGTACTTCAACTGGCTGAAGCCGCCGTCGAAGCTCGAGCGCAACAGCAACTACCACCTCTTCAAGTCGGGCATCAAGCCGATGTGGGAGGACGAGGCGAACGCGAACGGCGGCAAGTGGGTGCTCACGATGAAGAACAACCCGC